TTTATATATAAATAGTGTCAGAATTTCTCATTTTTAGTGTATCTCATCACTAACTTTATCATATGAGTTTAAAAATAAGCAGGCAGTTGTGCCCCTGAGTGCAGAAACATTCCTGTGCATTTTTGTGCTTGTTAGTTGTTGATTATGCAAATAATCATTAGACAATTGTACCAGGAAGCTTTGGGTAAGAAAAAAAAGTCCCCAGGCAGTCCCTCTAAGTTCCTCATTCTGCTAGATGACAACTATTATCAGGCCGTGTGTGTGTGTGTGTGTGTCAGAGCTCTGAGGAACACGGATCTGGAGACTAAAAACTAAAAGCAACAAAACGTGGAGGAACTGTTTTCTTCACCGAGGACCCGTGCATTGAGAGGTAAGAATGGATCTGTGTTTGTGTGGATAAAATCCGAATTAAATACAAATCATTGCAACTAATGGTGAGATTTAAAGAAAAAAACATCCAGGTAGGAGGTTGATTATGGGGACACATGCTTTGATAGGTGATTTATCTGCTGCTTAAATTGGATTTTTTGTCACCTTTTATTTAAAGTTTATTTTAAACCTTTTCAAGCATTTTAGGTTTTCTTCTTTTTCTTCCTTCATGAAGGTCTTTGCTCATTTCACCCCTGTAGCAAAATATCTAATGAGTCAATAAACAGATTTTAATGCAATGTTAACAACTAATTAAATCCAATTGAAAATGGCCACAAATGTAAAGTAATCTTTGCAAACCTAAAAATGGGAAATGCTTTAAGCATGTCCACCTCAGACCCATAACACACTTACAGCACCCATCTGCTGGATCTCATTAGGATTAATCAACCTTGTAACACAGTAAGAAAAACAAGCAGTTTTATCTTTTAATTCGTACAGATTTTCTTACTTGGACTCATAAGTATTGAATTGGACAAACAACTSTGGTTTTCAGATGTGCTTTCTTTTTGTTCCTATTCTTCTTGTTCAAACAAATCAGGTCGCCAATGTGCAAACTTCCTCTCAAATGTTTTCAAAGYCTTAAAACTGTGCGTTTGTCAGGTGGATAATGTGAATTTGTTCACTAACAGGGTTTGGCACTAATGTCTGAAAAAGACATTTTGTGGGAAATGTTTTGATGGCTGCTGGGTTGTACACACCTTCCTGTTCACTCAGAGGGACTTGTGCTGTTATCAGGTCAAACATTAACTCTGTCCACTGTTTCAGTTCATAATGTAGTCCAGCAAGGTTCCCATAAGACTCAATTAAAGTCATGTTTATTGCTTTAGTACTGGTTTCTGTTAAAACATTATCCAAATGCCAAGACCAGCTGTGAAAAATACCTCCGTTCTCTTTGCTGTGTAGGTTTTAAATTGACATTATGTGAAGAAAACCAAACTTAAATTCACAAAATCAAAAAATTGGAAGGTACGAAATGCCTGTAGAATATTGTAAATGTGATTTTAAAAGCTCTTAACTATTGTTGATTATGTTGTTGTTTTATTATTTCTTATAAAATCTTTGTTGGTGCATTGCAGACTGACAGAACCTGCGGTACAAATATAATGTTTTTTTTAAGTTTATTATAACATCAAATGTATCTGCCTGTTAAGAAAATACAGTATATCATGAATCATTGAATGTACATCTACATCTGATTAACTTTTGGAGTCAGTCCAATTCAACATGGCTGCTRCAGCTAAGCAAATTTAACCAATATCAAACGGGCTATAATTCAGCCCGTTTAACAGATAATGAGCTACARTTTGGGGTGGAAGTAGCTGAAACTGATCCCTAATTTACACTCAAAGCGCTGACTGATTGCTCAAGATTTGTGTTTAAAATATATAGCCATAATCTACTGGAGTCTGTCTGTTAGCGAAGTACTGCATAGACCATTAAACCCTCTTTTTCACCTCCTACCCTCAGGCATATAAAGCATTAAAGTTCCCCTGGCCAGGAAAAAAACATCTATAAAAATCATTTGTCCCTTCTGCAGTTACCCTACTAAACAAGGCTGCATAGTTACATTACCCCTCGTGTTTTTAACTTGGTTGTTTTGTTTAGATATGGGTTTTATTATAGTACTTACTGTGTCTTTGCTTGTCTTGTTTTTATTTATTTTTTATTTTTTGGATTTTACTTATTTTGAATGTATGTTTTTAACATGGAGCCATGTTAAAGATGATTTTCTGTCACTTTTGGGACTATCTATCTATCTATCTATCTATCTATCTATCTATCTATCTATCTATCTATCTATCTATCTATCTATCTATCTATCTATCTATCTATCTAT